AGGAGATACATGAATGAAAGAGTGCACGCTTATCTAAGAGATTCTTGTCAAGACTGAGTTCGAAATTTGGCGCCGTAAATTATTTTTTTACCTAATTACGGTCCATTGCTTGTTTGTTTGTGTTTAACGCCGCACTCGGCAACATTCCTGCTATATGACGGCAGTCTGTAAATACTCGAGTCTGGACCAGACAATCTAGTGTCATGAGTATCGATCCACGCATTTGGGATCGATGACATGCATCAACCAAGTCAGCGAGCCTGACCACCCGGTCCCGTTAGTCGCCTCTTACGACAAGTACATTATAAATTTTGTGAAGGCTACTTTAAAGAATTAAATAAAAAAATACAAAACTATTGAATTTGAATAACTTTGCTCTAAAATCTCACGATTTTATTCAAGTTATTTATTTGGTTAGGCAGGAGGTATTGTTGCGCATATCTCGCCCGCGGTGAATTTCTTGATGCTGCTAGCAGTTTCAGGAGCATCGATGTGAAACACGTGACTCAGGGCTGGTGAAGAAGCTACGAAGTCGACGGTAGTGTTGTCCGATTGTGCGGTGACTGTCACCACAAACACTTCCGCCATAGCTTTCAACTCTTTAATGCTACTTTGCACATCTTCATCAGCGCTGGTTTTCCCGTCAGTGAAGAGAAGTACCACGTTTTCGGCGTCAAACCGATCGCCATTGGTTTCTGTGAAGACTTCAGACGTTGCTAGTTGGATGGCATCCCCGAGGAATGTGCTCCCCCCTGTGTGTGTTTGGGAACGGATGGCTGCCATGACGCTTGCCTTGTTGTCACGGTATGTATTTAAGTGGAATACGACTTCAGCTTTTCCCGAGAAAACCATGAAAGCCACGTTAGTTCCGGCAGGGCTTATGCTTATGTTGCTGATGGCATCCACCGCAAAGGTCTTCATTTTCTCATATTCACTGTGATTGACAGAGGTAGAAATGTCCTCTATGATGAGCAGGTCAAGTACCTTTGGTTTGCATTCTGTAACATAACACATGAGATTGACGTACATCTTTATGAACATGAGAATAAGGCCATCCGGACGACCATTAAATTAAACAAGGTAAGTGTGACGATCATATTCATAGTTCATTTTCTTGAAGACTTTTGGAGGTGACGATATACTATCTATTTTACGGCGACATGTGAACAATCAAGTCTGATTGAACATATTTCGTGATTTTCTTTTGACATTTAATATATTTGCACATTAAATTTAAGAGCAAGCCATAATCCAGTTACACAATGAACATACCACACACAACGAAAGCAAGTGTGCCGTTTGTCTGGATCCCGTTAATCTAAAAAAATCTCTTCTTGGCGATTGCCGTTTGGAATTGTTATTATTTAAAGGGAATACCATGGCCCTAGGGCATTTAATCAGGAAATTTGTTAATCAGGACGATTTCACTTGGAACTACAGTTGTGTGTTGTTTGTTTATTATTTAACGCCGCACTCAGCAATGATCCAGCTCTATGCCGACGCTCTGTAAGTAGGCTTAACCAGAAATTCCAGTGATTGACATAATGAGCATCGATCCACTCAATAATGATACGATGGCATACATCAACCAAGTCACCGAGTCTGATCATACGATCCTTCTAGTCGAATCTTACGACAAGCACATGGGTTGCTGAAGACATATTTTAACCCCGGATCTTTACGGGTCGGAATCACACTACTAGGATTAAAGCAATTCACTGTATACTCATGTTATTGAGACCCATGAAGATCCGGGGTAGAATAGGTCTTCAGCAACACATGCTTGCCGTAAAAGGCGACTATGCTTGTCGAAAGAGGCGACTAACAGTATCGGGTGGTCAGGCTAGCTGACTTGGTGGATGCGCGTCATCGTATCCCATTTGCGTAGATCGATGCCAATGATGTTAATCACTGGATTGTCTGGTCCAGACTGGCCATTGATTATTAATAGACGGCCGTCATATAGCTGGAATGTTGTTGAGTGCGGCGTTAAACAACAGACAAACAAACAATCTAAATAACGTTACCTGTTTCACATTCAAGTCCCTTGTAACCTTGTTGACAAATACAGGTGAACTCGCCCTTCTTCGCCTCACAAGTTCCATTATTCAGGCAGGGATTGGTGACACATGCATCTACATCTGGAATAAAGAGGTACATTTACGAATACCCGATGGGGATTCGGGTTAGAATAGGCTTCTGGTTCTCATATTAACGTCAAATTATGTAGCTGGTTTCGAGAGTATATTGTGCTTAAAAGTAAATTACTATTTACTATAAATCATTATTCAGCACTGACACCCACGGGAAATATGGGTTCTGTGATATATACGCATATATTTATAAGAGAAAAATTCCAATTTTTACTTGTCTAGAAGCGGTCACGTGACCACCGATCAATCAGACAGGCAGATTCCTGTTTCTGCGTGGATCCAATTCCAAACATACGCATCCCCACAAGGCAATAAACATCGCGATTCGCTGACATGACAAACGATCAACAGACAGGAAATGTCATTTTGGGGTATGGGACGCGTCCTTGGTGAAGTGGTTAGAGCGTCTGTCAGGCGAGCTGAAGGTTGGTGGTTCTATCCCAATTCGCGTCAAACCAAAATACGTTAAAATATGGTACTTTTGGTTACCTTGCCTTATGATTGTCATTTAGGGGTTAAAATTCGGATTAGTCGGCGTGCAGTCTGTTGAACTGATTCTTCGTGTCTCAGTTGGCTAGCACTGTGCGAAAGTCCAGACTAGTACCAGCAGTCAAACACAAGTGCATGCACAACATAGTCTTGAAAGCGACGTTCACCCCCAATGCTGGGTTTCACTGACTATTTTTTCAACGCATGTACATGTGTGCTTACCATAGCCAGCCGTAAAGATCCGGTTTAGAATTTGTCTTCAGCAACCCATGCTTCCTGAAAAAGGCGACTATGTTTGTCGTAAGATGGGACTTCAGGATCGGGTGGTCAGACTTGCTAGATGCATGTCATCGTATCCAAAATAGGAAGATTGATTATCATGATGGCAATCACTGGATTGCCAGGTCCAGACTCGAATATAACTCAACGGGTCAGAAGGACCAAGGTGAGCTTATGCCATACAGTGGCGTCCGTCGTCCGTACGTCAACAATTTACCCAAACGGCCTCTTCTGAACCACTAATTGGAAATTAACTAAATTTGACTGGAAGTATCCCAAGGTTGTAGGGATTCAAATTGGAGAAATGGAGGGGCTGAATCCTACCCCTACTCCGGGGACTGAGGGGCGGGGCTCAAAGGGTAATTTGCTTTAAATGACTTTTTCTCTGGACAACAGAGATGGACATCAACTATGTTTGGTTGGAAGTATTCTAATGAGGTTGGAATTCACAATCGCCACCCCCCACCCCCAAGGGACTGAAGAGCGGCGCAGAGTTCATAACCTGGACACAGTTAAGATCCCCATAGTATAAACATATGTACAATTGAGAGTATAATGAGAGGAATGCACATATGCTACCAGTGCTGGTCCTTCTTTTCATCTGTCCGGCACTCGTAAAGGAATTAGAACCTTGACCATAACATGCAAACCAATATCATCCCTACCCTATAATTAACATATACATTGTATACATTTGTTTGTTATGAAGAGAATAATACCTTTAATATGATTTATCCTGGATCAAAACATGAAAACGGTTCAGATCTTTATGCTACATTTGTATCTAGAGAAATACACGTTCATGCTGTCAAATTTGCCATTCACCCATTTTAAATGCTGACAGAGTCAAACTTACGAAATATTTGCAGTATTATATACATGTACAATGCATATTTATATTTTGTCATGATTGCGTAACCAGGTGAGCGATACAGGCCCTATGGGCCTCTTGTTTACAGACCGCCGTCATAAAGCCGGAATATTGTTAAGTGCGGAGTTAAACAACAAACAAACAAAACAAAGCTTACCATAGCAGTACGAAAATGAACTGGGGGGACGTGGGAACCTGAACACTTGTCTACCGTCGCTGCAATTCTGGGTCGGTGTAGTCATGTACGCTGCGTAACATGCATGCGTAGACGTAGCCAGACATAACACTGCCATGTCGCCGCTAATCTCTGTGAAACAGGACAACACATGAACGTGTGAACAGGAAATGTTTTAATTGTATATCTCTCTTAAAAATAAAAAAAAAAAAATGGCAAGATCTGAATTGAATTTTTCGTAATGCTTCTGCTTCAATAAAGTGCGCGGCAAATCAGCCTCTCGGTTCACTTCAGAAGACATCATTCAGCGATACTGGAACTGGAATCAAATTGTATTACGACTCCTTATCAGTCGATGGTGCAAAAGGAAGACATCGCCATATTTATTACAAACTTGCCGATGAATAATAATAATAACCGTTTCAGTCACAAGAAAAGAAACCTTTAGTACATGCTTATGAAAAGGTATATTTAGCATTTTCTTCTCACTCACAGTGTTAAGTAAAAGTGGAGACACCAGGTTTACACAAAACATAAGAACATAAAGGGTAAACACGGTCGTACTTGATACAAAGGGTATTAGAGAACATCACCCAACTTGATCGAATTAAAATGAATAAACACTGTCTCTATTTCGGCTTGTTTGTATTTTACATCGCAATCAGCAGTAAAAAATATGCTCTGGTTAAGACAATCCAGTGACTGAAATAGAAATATTGAATGACAAGAATGATGGATATTTATGGGATCAGTATGTGTTAAAAACCCATGAGTGAGTAAACACTGATCAACCCCAACCCCAACCCTGATCAATATCTTGGAAAACATGTAACATTTAACTGCATGAGAAACCTGACGGATTGCCGGCCGCAATACGGACCGACACTCGTCTTTGAACGCGTTTTTGTCGGAAATAAAACTGCTAACCTTTGAGCCAAAATGGAAATCTTTGCCCACATGCCGGACCAAAAACAGGCCGGGTCAGTATTTTTGTGTCATTGAAGGAGTCGTACCACCCAGACTTTAGACTGTACGAATCTCTGACTTGTCCAGCGTGGGTGTTAGATGGCCCTCTTTTCTCTATGTCTGGTATCATTGTTGAAACAGTACAAGGATCTACAAGTATAATAAAATAAAGTTTGGTCAAATATTCGTTAAATGATTACTAGTTCTTAAAGCAAATAACTGACCCTCGAAATCAGGCAAAGAGAAATAATTCGTTTTGTCAGAATTTGTTGTCACATGGTAAACGTTACACGTATTAAACACATACTAACCATATCTACCAGAACTCATGTTATTTCTGGTATAGCTGTGTATTTGACATTAATAACGGAAAAAAATTGTTTGAATTACACTTTTGGATTTCTGTGTTTACCTCTATTCCACACGACACACTTAAGGGACACTTCATTCCTTCAAGTTGGCGAAATGCAAGACCTCCTCACAGAAGAATCAATATGAAATTTTGGATGGGACATTCAGTCAAGAAGGAAGCATTTCAATGGGCGCCAGTTGTGCTTCCCTTTTGCTGATCGGGTCTTTTTATGCACGTGGATAGGAATATGTGCTCGGATTGGTAGAACACGGGGATTTGGCCAAGAAGATTATCTTAAAGAGCATTTATGTCGATTATCGTTCAATAATGGTCAAATTGCCAAATCTCTTCTACTGATTTACCAAGCTTGGCTCCGTTGCACAAATCGGTATTAACGCTACGACGATTCCATGCTTTAACACATTTAACGCATTTCCGGCAGTCGTGGAGTTAAGATCACTCTGAGTAACGCGGCCCTCAACTAAAATATACTAATGAAACCCTTTTTGTATATTTATGTCCGTGCATAATGTTTCAGTGACAAAAGCTAGTATCACGACTGTATGACCAGTGCATGACTTCAACATTCCCTTCATATCGAGCAATACTCCAGCAGCTCTTGGCAATTATATTTACATTTGTGATGTATTAGGGCATCCTCTTTCCACGAAACTTTCAATACTCAAGGCCTTATATGAGTTTTCAAACAGGTGTTATGGTAGACATGTAGAGGACATTTCCAAAGCATCACAGACAAATTATGTCAATGCAATTCCGTTTAGACCTGTACGACATGTTTCCCGTCTTTGTTCAAGTCTACAACTAAATTGACTTTGGATTTGTTTGTGACGGGTGGCACCACTGAGACTTGGTACACTCACCTTGTCACGTACAGGTCGTATCTTCACTATCTGATGGTGATTCACAGACACATAATTAATATGATGTAGTCGGGGATTTCTTATGACTATGTTGTTTTTATTTTCAACAAGGTTGTAATATACATAAGAGCCACTGACTGTTCCATATTTAGTTAAAAGATTGTTTATATTGTTTCTAAAGCTGCAACCCACAAACGTTCAGTTATGTAAAGCGGTCTGTGAATAACCAAAGTAAGGGTCAGGAGCGCTGACTTAATGATGGTTGAGTGGAACACCAGTAATGGGATTCCTCCGTTGTACCCATGTAGGGAATCGAACCAGGGCCTTCGGAGCGACGAGTCAACAGATTAACCACAAGGCTACCCAACCGCTAACTTAAAGTTTGAGTTAATAGGACGAACAACATATTATTAAAAATTATTTATGATTGACAATACTTGAGTACTTGGTTTGGTTTGGTTTACTGTTTAACGCCGCACTCAGCAATATTCCAGCTATATGACGGCGGTCTGTAAATAATCAAGTCTGGACCAGACAATCCAGTGATTTACATCATGAACATTGATCCACGCAATTGGGATCGATGACATACATCAACCAAGTCAGCGAGCCTGATCACCCGATCCCGTTAGTCGCCTTTTACTGCAAGCATGGGTTGCTGAAGACCTATTCTACCCCGGGTCTTCACGGGTCACTTGAGTACTTACCGCCATCACACGTACGACCTGTATATCCTGCCTTACATGCGCATGTGAAACCGTCACGGCCTGCAATACATGTTCCTCCATTTGCACATGGCGTACTCCTACAGTAGTTAGGTGCTGCAAGAAATGAGCAATTCGTGAAGATAGTTATACAGCATACACTATTAAATGATTCTATTCTTCAAAACTAATCCCCTTAGATCAATATCAGATAATACTGATCTGAAGATGTTACTGATCACCTGACTTATGCGATACCTAAGGATTCCGATTGATTAGAGTTTGTTAGAAAACATTGTCTACGTCTACGAGTACTGAATAACGTCGTTTTAAGCGGTTGTTCAACGATATTACGATGTGTCAACTTCATATGAGAAAAAAGACAAAGGTGTCGCAGACCAAAGGATTCAAACCTACAACAATGGCTACCTTGAATGGCTTGGAGATGTTAAGGGTACTGCAAATTGTGCGCCTTTTCGTGTTACCGGCACGTTCATAACTGTAAAGATCTTTGTTATAACAATGCTTCAATAGGGGAGTGGCTTTGTCTTACAGTGAAGCCATTTCGTCGCAGATAGAGGGTCAATTGTGTTGGGTTTGTTTGGTGATAGAAACATTAAACGTGGCACAGTTGTAAGTAATTATGTCATTCCGAATATTTTCTGATATGGGGCCACCAAAAAAGTCCAATATGGCCGCCATGCAGGAATGACCTTATGGAACTTCTCGTATATCTCAGTTAAACATGACCCACAACCTAAATATATAACGAAAAATGAACATTTTGGAACGTATGTACCCATCATTATATCTGTAGAGTAAATAACTTTATTATATTATACTATTTATCTTTATTTGAAAATATGCATTTCTTTCTTCTTCGGCATATCTTTAAGACATACTTCATTAAGGCCAATTAACTATACCAATACTGTATACTCATATGGTGAAAACAATGACAAGAACATAATATTTGAAGAACAAAATTTGTTTTTATTGATACATAATGTGAATGGCTAATGGTTTGGTTGGCAAGGGACCGATGTAATGTTGGGTAAATACATTCCAAAATTTTCATTTTTCATAATATATTTAGGTTGTGGGTCAAGTTCACACGAAATGCCGACAACTGTTCCAAGGTTCATGCTTTTATTACAGAGTGCATCCTTTTCACGAAACGGCTGTATTACTAACGCAGCTTCAAACTTTCATGTAGGTGAAACGTTCAGAAAGCGAAATCCGGTATCTTATGTCACAGGGCCACTCATGGGTATTATTTATGTTCTTGATATACAAGTAGATTCATGTCAAAACACTTATTACATAATTCTCATAATATCATAATCTCACCAAGGCAGAAGACACTCCGACTAACATTGGTCTTGATCCTGTAGAGTTAAAAAAAATCGAAACACTTCATTGTTTCAACTTCGAATGTGGTGGAACATGCGTCGGTTTCGTTTTGAACACACACCACCGAGACAGTGGTTCCCTTTAGCTCTACAAGAAAACATGAAAACGATGTCATATAGAATGAAGGCAATGCGCTGAAGCGAAGGGGTAAGTAAACATGAAGCTTTGTTCGTTTGTTTGTTGTTTAACGATGCACTCAACAGTATTCCAGTAATATGACGGCGGTCTGGACCAGGCAGTCCAGTGATTTACATCATGAGCATCGATCTACGCAATGAGGATACGAAGATATGCATCAACCAAGTCAACCAGCGAGCCTGACCGCCCGATCATATGACACGCATAGTTGCCTCTTACGGCAAGCAGTGGTTGCAGAAGACTTATCCTCAACCCGGATCTTCACGGGTTGTAAACATAAAGTAAATGGTATATTAGCGTTGCCATGTTTTACCTCAGGCCCTAGTGTATACAAAGTGGAAAAGGTTGTATATGATACTGTTTTGTTTGTTTGTTGTTTAACGCCGCACTCAGCAATATTCCAGCTATATGACGGCGGGTATACTGATACTGCCAACAAAAACTGCATACCGAGTCTTCTTAGACAAATGCCTTAAGGCTGTTCGAAATGTGCCAATGTTAACCAAGCAGCGAATGGATATCCAGTAGGGCAAGAATATAAATGGAATGCAAACCCTTTAGTGCCTTAGGTTTGTACCCCCACGGAGATGAGGTTGGAATGAACACTGTTTATGTGAGTAATAATGTAATTCGTTTCAAACATACTTAGTGCGGACTCTTGCACTAGATTAGTTGCTACAATTACCATCATCATCATGACATTAAACCTAAAACAGAAAACACACCCACATTGAACAGGACACGTTGTCTGTGAACGTGCTTTAAACAATAATTCAGTTAGATGACGGGCTGTAAGCTTAATGCTGGAGAAAACCTTAAGTCTTTGAGGTTGAGGACGCTTCCACGTAAGTGAAACCAAAGAGAATGGGTAAGACCCACCGTGTTTTTTTCAAATCGCCAGCTTGTCCTTTCAAAGAAAGAATTTGACTCTGACACAAAACAATCACTATCTTTGCGCTTGAGTTTTTGAAACTTACGTATCCTTTGATATTTATAACATTATAACAATATCAACATCTTGATCAGAACCAGCTTAAATGATATTTTGGGTATTAGCAATAACAAGAATGTCAAAATCATTCTCATCTTATGGAGTTATCTGCTTCACCTGATAACAATGCTGGTAGGCTGATGGTGAGCCAAAAACCAATACAAATACATGAAGTGTGTATTATACACAAACAAATATATTAAAGATGAAGACAAAAGGGATAAATTTCCTGAAAAGCGTTATGTTAACATTTGTGAAACTAAAGAACATGACGTAGCATTCAAAGTGACATAAGTTTATAAAAAAGACGTTATGGGTGTCAACTTCATTATTACAAGGAACAACGTTTCAGAGCATATGCTTAATCCCTCATTATAAAATGTATACCTTTTTATCACTGAGGTATTCAATCATGGTAGAAACAAAGCACTGACAGCTTACAGACAACTGCCCAATTTACATCATGAATAATATTTCTCTTCACCTGATTTCAAGATATCAAATGTGTTTAATTTAACGTTAGTCAGAAGCAAAACATAATAAAGCAGAATTTAAAAATACTGACTCACTAATATATTAGATAATTTTTCCCCCATTGCTTCAGCACCGCGCAGTATTATAGTGGATTGTTTTACATGGCAGGATACGAATCTTGAAGGAGGTTGTATTTAAATCACTTTAATTGGAGTCTTGTAGAAATGTATAGTGACAGTAGAGACAAACACTGTTTTCAGACAAATGAAGGCCGAAACCGTTTTAGGACAAATGTTTGAAGAACAACAATAAACAACACATCACCACCCCCTGACACGAGATCATATTCAAATATACCTTTCCTCCAAATTGGATACTTTCCTCCACAAGAACCTACACCGGGTGGAAAATCCAACATTACACCATGATCAAATGCAACCAAGCTCGCTCCATTATTCTTTGAATCATCCATATCGAGGTCTCCAACATGTGGCCATCGCTTGTGGGTATCTTTATGCGAGGTGTAATATGTGCACGTGTTACCTAGAAAACGTGAACAATTAAGTTAATGACATTAAATCCTCAATATAGTAGTTTCAATAACAAAATTATACAGTAGATTCGGTTTTACCTGGATTAAATTGATAATGGTCATGATATGTTCAATCCAATTTGTTTCCTTATGATTGTTTTAAATAAAACAATAATGTCAAAAATGACTGTATTCTTCGTCTGTAAAAGGCGTATTTTTCAACATCAGATCTTGAAATCCCCCAAGGCACAGTCAGCAATATTCAGCCAATATCATGACGAATAATCTGGACCAAAGAAACCAGGATTTTCGAAATAAAAATATACAATAAAGGCGTTAAATTGTTTGACAGGCATTACTTAGATGTTGACGTATGACCAGGTAGACACAATTTTATGGTTAGCAACTTCTTTAATACTGTAAAAAGGGACGTTTCGGTAAAGATCCTTATACCGTTGTCAAGCAAGACTCATACCTTTGTCAAGTCTTGCTTGACAACGGTATAATGATCTATACCGAAACGTCGCATTTTACAGTATTAAAGAAGTTGTTATCCATAAAATTGTGTCCACCTAATAAAGGAGTTGAGTAGAGGAATTGTCAACTGCTATCGCTATCGGCAGCATCACTCTTAACACACATATGAAATTGTTTTTGCGGAATTTATATTTTTTAAATATTATTTTTGGGTATGATCTTTAACATTAAACATTTGCAACCTTGAAAGTATTAATGACGTTGTTTTTTTATTTAATGATCTATCTTCCTTTTCAATTACTTCTTTAATTCTTCTCAAAATAATGAAGAAATAATGTGAATTAAATTTCAAACAAAACACGCTGGTCTTACCACTATGGGCATGGTGCGGAAGAAGGAACAGCAGGAGAGGAAGGACTTGTCTCTTCATTGTCTGCAAGAGATACATTTCACGACCGTCATCTGAACTACTATTCATTTATCTTCTCTATTTTATGACTTTTTAAACATGTGTATGACATGATGCATTTCCATGCGTGCCCTAATGTTTGGAATACGTTTTTGAATTGTTGAATTCTATGCGCATAGGCGAAATCACCTACGGGAAATTATATTGGTATGTGCATGTGCTTTGTCTTTATTTGCCAGGTAATAGGGATGTATGCTTATAAAATGAATTATTTCCATGTATTCCTAACGGTGCTGACACATAACGAAACGAATGAATTTAGGTGATCAGTTTTGTACAGGTTTGAAATCATTGGAAATAAATAAGATCAATCCCCCAACTGTTTCGATATGGTTTGAAAGCGATGCAAATTGGCAGTAGTAGTTACACATGTTTCAAACGTGATGAAATGGTATTTGGAATGTTTGTCTGTCAGAAATCTGTAGAGTTCCAGGCGTTTGAAATATATTGGACATTTTTCAGTATTATCGATAGTACTAGTGTTTCTGTCGAATGTAACCCGATATCAAACCCAAGTTATTCGTTCATAGTGGCTACTGTGGGAGTATTGGAGCTTTTAATGAGCAACAACTTAGATTTCTTTGTTCTGAGTCATTGTACAACTTTTAAGAGACAGCAGATTATTTATTTTCCTTCTAGTGTTAACTACGACACAATAGCATAACCACTACTAAATTAGACAAATACTCAAGGGTACAACACTTTGGCAATATCGGTTAGTCAAACCTATGAGTTAGTCCTGAATGTTAATCAGTCTGCAGTTTTACAATTGCATCCTTCACTTCCAGAGAAATATCAATAAATATAATATCAATGAGATGTCAAATGTTTCATTGATACATGAAACACCAATAATTGTATAACATTAATATTCCTCTGAAGGTGTCACCAATAATTGTATAACAATGAATATTTATTAACTTTGATGTTATTCATCAATATTTTAAAAAGAAATGCCATCGACGTGTTGGTCTTCAATTCTGATGCCATGTTCCAGTTTGTGTAGGTTGATCTTAATGTATCTTATATAATAAAATAATATGCACTTTGTGTGGGTAAAAGACATTGGAGACGTACATCAATATTTGTTATATACCCTATATCTAATATAACAATACATAGATTCCATAACTCAACTCATATGTTCATAAACCAGGTTTATTTTGAAAAGGCACATAACTTCTAATTTGTCATGCATAATGACTGCATTAACATGAACGCAGTAGAAAATACATATTAGAACAATTATAAGTATGTATATAGTAAGTGTAATACTTACATTCGAGTTTTGTTTGTAGAGAATTACAGTGTCTGGCAAATGATTCTCATATAACAGTTCCCATAAATGTACAAACAACAGTGGGATTGTCCCCTTTATGTGTTCTAGGATACTATATGTTCTGTATATTTTGATCCGCAAATGCAGGAAAGATGTCACCTGCTTCAGCGGTCCTTTTTCTGTTGAAACATCCGGAAGATGTACCGCGACATGCATTTTACCAAAATAACCTAGAATCTACGTTTGTAATTCATGAAACATTCACGCATTGAAATTGTCCTTTGGGGTTAAAACAGTTCAACAAAGTAAGCTGAAGAGAAATGAACGTTAATGACATCGACTTCATACAATTACAAGAACTTTATATTTGGTGATCTCGATTCATGTCGTCTAAAACCCAACATCCTAAAGGGGCACAGAGTTGTCATATTTTATTTATTTTAACAGACAACATGCAATTAGAAATACAATCTTCCCCAATCCGTCTTATCCGTTTTCAGGTGTATTGTAGGATGTTAAATATGCTATACTCAAATTTACATTGTTTCAAATTTTCGCATGCTCAGTTTATTCATGATTTTTCCCTGATTGACATTCTTTAAGGCATAAATGACAAATAAAGCATTTCGTATGTTAGTTCGCATGTTATATTTTTGTAACCAGGT